ATTTAGATGATATCTGATGAAAAACAACTATTGCTTTTGCATTACATATTAAATCGATTAATGAATTAATAACACTTAAGTTTAGTATTCTGGTAGTTATATCCAACCTGTCCTCAGTCAGCAGGTGTCAAAAACTGAAGCATGGTCAAGCACTTTTCATATCACTATTAAGATGCTAAAGGTTCCCCTTGGCATTGCTATATTGACCAATATGTCTCATTATAATTTAGGCTAAAATTTTCATCTGTTTTCATAAATGTTTCAGTTCATCTCTCCAAGTGATGCAGTTATAGTCATGGATGTATGCAGGGTTTTAGAACTAATGAGGTCCAAAAACTGAGCTTGCTAGGGGGTTTGGGGTCATATGGTAAATCATAGGAACAGAATGAAAATAGAATTTTAATTTTTAGGTGAACTATCTCTAAATTTTGAGCACAGAGCAGCCATGGACATATATACAAAGGTTACAGACACTTGGGAGTTTCTTGTCAAAAATAGAAACTTAAAAGAATAAAGGAGGAGACAGATAAATAAAAATATTTTAAGAGCTAGAATTTATTGTAAAGAAACACATTTGCAAATATTTTGCTGTATGCATACATTCATTCGTAATCTTGCCCAATATGTTGAAAATAGCTGTGTTGTTTGCATTCTTGGATATTACTGTAGGTCATTTCTATTGTTACACACTTGTCAAATATTAAATATTTAGCTACTTCACACTCTGTCTCTGTAAACAGTAATGGTAATTCCCACCTTTGATTTGATTGGCCATCTCAGTCACTTTGACATTGACAAGCGCTGTTAGACAAATGATTAGCCCAGATGACATGGTCGGTTCTCTCGGCGTTGTACAATATTGTTGCAGCACTAAAGTACAGTTATTATTACGCAATTATTTCACAACTTTTATTTTAGCTACACCTTGGAAAACATACCAAGGTCTGGACCTAGGGACCTCATTAGTGTGTACGGCCATGGTTACAGGTGATTTCAGAGCTGTTAAATGAGGTGTCATTTTAATCTGGTCTGATTTTTTTCTAATATAGATTTTATGTTCAAACAAAAATAAAAGTGTTTTGTGTTCAGTTCGGATTTATCCTTTGAATGAGATCTGACAGTCTTCACAGAGCAGGAACATATTCGGTGGTTTAAACCTTGAGATTCACTTTGCTCCTCACATAATGATATCAAATGGCTTCAGAAGACTGAGAAAGCACCACAAGTCATTTGTATTGCTTTCATGCATTTTGGTTTTTGACATTTGAGTTGCAATAAGTTGTACTTTTATCTGCTTGATATGTGTTTTATATTGTTGAGTTTAGGGTATTTAGGGTTTGGGGATATATGGATATACAGCATATATATATATATATATATATATATATATATATATTATGCATAATTATGAACAGGTTGTAATATCAGTAGTAGGTTATAAGGACACACGGGCCACTGTGCCTTGAGAGGTGAAATTTCCTGTTTTTAAACGTTGAGTCTGTCACACTGATGGTAAGAAACAGCTCAAATCACTTCATTATGGAGTAATTGTCAGAATGAACGGTTCAGTTCATGACAGGTTCAGCTGCGGGAATGATGGCTCTTCAGGAGTCTGTGGCTTTCTCTTTTCTCTCCATCCAGAGAGTTCTGGGTTGAGTTATGTGTTATAGTTCATTTGATATAACCTGGTTGACATTTAAGGCTGACATTATTGTATCGTTATTAATAATCAGGAATTAGAAATTATATTTTTTGTTTGCAACTTTTTTTCAGATGTGTAGTGGGCCTATTTGGCCAGACATAATCCATACATTTTTAGAAGTTTTAAATCCTTCCAAATTTCAGCACTAAATCTGAGGCAAACTTAGTTAATTAAACTGCAGACTTGTGAGTGAAGTGAGTGAGTGAAGTGACATGTGGCCAAGTATGGTGACCCATACTTGGAATTAGTGCTCTGCATTTATCCCATCCAAAGTGCACACACACAGCAGTGAACACACACACCGTGAACACACACCCGGAGCAGTGGGCAGCCATTTTTTTGCTGCGGCGCCCGGGGAGCAGTTGGGGGTTCGGTGCCTTGCTCAAGGGCACCTCAGTCGTGGTATTGAAGGTGGGAGAGAGCGCTGTACATTCACTCCCCCCACCTACAATCCCTGCCGGTACGAGACTCGAACCCGCAACCTTTGGGTTACGAGTCCGACTCTCTAACCATTAGGCCACGACTTCCCCAAAATCTATTTTGAGTTTTGTGTTGCAAATTTGTGTCTACCCTGTGGAAACTAGAAGTGCAAATCGTACCTTTTGTTTTGTTTTCTTTAGTCCATTTTGTCTCTGTGAGCTGCTCGATGGCTTGGGGGAGGTATTTTATTTGGCTAGTACACTAGAGTGTGTATCCTTGGCTTTGACCTTACTCTTTTTAACTCTTTAGCAGCTAAATCGGGTGCTGCTGACTGCACTACACCCTGTACATACGACAAACTATAGCTTTTATAAATTGTATGTATGCATACTATTACTGGTAGCAACAAAACCTATATATAGACTATATATCTATAGACTGTCCCACTGTTGTGAGACCTGATTTCATCCTCACCCTGTCTCTCTTGTGTACTGCACATTTTTGGCAAATACAGTCCTGGTATTCAAGGTATAAGCATACTACATAGACTTACTTTCAATAATAGTTGATACTTGATAGTGTGCAATTCCAAACACCTCAGATTCAGATATATGTCACGAGCTGCTGGTTGGTGACTGTGTCATTGAGTGTATAACATTATTTTATTCAGTGTAATAATGTCAGAGCACTCAGCTAATTACTAAATACTCCTATTTAATCCTAGTTGTTCCAAATCTCATTAACTGTAATTCGGGATTAACCAGCGAATAATCCACAAGACCATTAGAATGAGCAGCTGTGTAGACCTGTGTCTGATTAATCAAAGAAAAGCAACCAAAGCAAATTTATCCCACACCTTTAGAATTCAGAATTTATTTACATTCCTAAAACAGTGTCTACAATTTCTCAACGCTACATAAGATCTGGTGTCCTCAACTTTTGTGATGAAGATGCTCGTTTGATGTTGTTCGTACTGAAAGTGTGGAGCATTAAATATTCATGCAGGATCTCGGCCTTTAACTTAATTGAGAGAGCGAGGTTGTGACACACTGTGGAGTGACACTAGATGGATGTCTCACACACGCTTACGCTGCTGAGATCAAACGTGTGCATGTCAGGGTAATGATGGCATTTTGTGAGCGCACTCAGTGACATGCACTTTCTGAACTGCATGACCTGCTAAGGCTCTCAATGTGAGCCACATGCTTGATCTAAAGACTTCAATGTAAAGTCAGCAGGTGCTAATAAAGCAATATATCACACATGACTTGAGCAAGAGCACTGCATGCATACTGCATTCATTTGAGGGTAATTACAGACAACACTCAATCATGTGATATTGCTTTTATACAACAGTTCAAACATTTGTTCATTTTAAGGTACTTATAGTGTTGTTAACAAATTGGGTGAGTGAATAATTCACTAACATCCATGCAGCTTGTTTTGATATTTAATGAATCAAGTTGCTTATCTCTAAGCCAGGGTTGGGTGGTAAGGGTGAATAATTCAATGACACATTCATGCAGCTTGTTTCGTTCCTTAATGATTTCAGTGTTTTTGAGCAAATCTCTTTTGCGAATGATTCAATGACTCACTCATGTAACCTGCAGAAAATCCCCACCACTAATGCACAGACAGACCCGTGTTGCAGCCTGTAATTAAACCACGCCATGCTGGTTTCATCTGGCCAGAGGAGAACTGGCCCCCCGACTGAGCCTAGTTTCTCCCAAGATTTTTTCTCCATTTCTGTCACCGATGGAGTTTTGGTTCTGGAGTTTGGTTGGTTTTGGAGTTTTTGGTTTGCCACTGTCGCCTTTGGTTTGCTTAGTCGGGGACGCTTGACTGATTGCACAGACACTATTGGAAGAGAGCTGAACTGAATCATCAATGAGCTGACTTTAGCTGAAAAATGACTCTTTGTTATTGTCCTCTTGCATTATTGACAAATTATTTTCATGTTTGACACTGTAAAGCTGCTTTAACACAATCCGTATTGTATAAAGCGCTATCCAAATAAAGGTGACTTGACAGAAAGTAATACAAACAGTTCTGTTGGACTGTATATCAGTATTTTTCAAATTTATTAGATTCAAGGACCAGAACTAACTGTTGTATACCCAGCTAACAAAAATATGTTCTAAATCTTTTTTTTTCTTCTTGATTATTTCAACATTAAAGGGGTCATATGATGCGATTTCAGTTTTCCTTTCTCTTTGGAGTGTTACAAGCTCTTAGTGCATAAAGATTCTATTTTATAATTTTCCAAACATTATGGGAGCATTAAACTAACATTTAACATAACATTTTTGGACTAACGTCCAACTAAAACATTTCAGAAAAATGTTTCCTGAACATTGTATAAATAATGCTTTCAACATTATGAACTTTGAACAAACATTTTAAGAGAACCTTGCCAGAATGTTAGACAAAGTTCTGAGAATGTTCCCTGTTAGTATATGTTTGCTTTGTAACTTGCAATTAACAAACCGCAGTCATGCCGCAAATGTTCTAGAGAAATTTGATTTATCATTCTGGTGGTTTTGTATGAAGAGCTTCATGTTTGTGTCAGCTGAAACACGAAGGGCTTCCTGGGTTTTCCAAACAGAAAAAAAGCATGAGGTCAAAATCATTCATGGACGTCTATAACCAACATCTGATCAATTTTAGGCAGATTAGATGCATTCAGTCAGATTTTTTTTTTCATAAAAGTTTTGAAAGATGTTTTGGTGCACTGAATGCATTTGTGGAGGTTTTGTCATGGCCGTCTCCTGCCTTTGAGCTCTTTGGGTCAGCAGGAACAGGATTAGCTGGCCTGTGCCCTAGGTGTCCTTCAGGAGAATTAGGGCAGCTTCCAGCTCTCACGGGAGCAGTCGTCCTGCTGGTCAGCGTTCATGCGGGTTTCTTTGTTCCCAATGGATATTTGGAGTTCAGAAGGAAGTGTCAACTAGCAGTTGCTTTATGAAATTTCAAAAATATTTGTTGGTGTTTTTGGAGAGTCCAGTGTTTATGTTTCTCAATGGATCCAACTGAGAAAATCTGAGAACTATCCGATTGTCTATTAACCTGGACTCGTGGAATGTGATTGTGAACCATCATCTTGAGATCTTCAGGTGCTGTAGCTGACCTTGCTCATCTGATTTGTTGCGTTGTTTTGTGACTGTGATTTTTGTATATTGTGGATGATGCCAACTGAAGCGTTTCCTCTGAGTGGGGCTCAGATAGCCTTGTGTCGTCTGGTTCATCACGGCCCCAGACCACAGGCCACGCTGAGACCTCTGAACCAGGAGCTCAGGCTCTATGTTGAGAAGACACGCACCAAACCTAAATGCAGGTACAAGTGGATGCTTTATAGATATTCCTATAATCCAGTTCAGGAAGAATAATGAGCTGATCAATCTGCACAAACTTGCAATACATGCTGTATAAAGATGCATATATAGTGTCTGTTTAATGACAGTTTTGACCAGCATTTTGGAGTTAGCAAGTGTTCTTTATTCAGTCAAGCGTCACTATTTTTATATTGCCTTTACTGGGGTTTAAAAGACAATTCATATTCAGTAGTATTAGAAGGACTGAAACAAGCTGAAAATCACACATACATTAAATACGTTCTCACCTGAACACGATTCAGTCTAATTTTCAGCCCTAACCATGAAACTCATTTACTGTGAGAGAATGCGTAACCAAAGTTTCTCATGAAAATGTGCATGTTCATTTCCAATCATTAGTCTACAAATATCAAGCCTGTAATTATACTATATATACTATATATTGTGCTAAATATAATATATGAATCATTTATATTGCATATCTTATATATTAATATAATATAATTTATACATAAGTATTTATATTATAATATAATTAATATACGTATAATAAAAATACAATATTATATTATTACATTCTCTCTCTATATATTAATTATTTAATATTAAAGTATATTTAAATTAAAATTTTTAATTGAATTGAGCTGAATAATGATTAATGACACTCAATTTGCAACATCAACACTGTTATCAAACTAAATTGAATCAACATTGAACTGACTTGATGTGAATGATGATACTATTGTCTTTTGTAGAGCTGCTTTACAGCTATAATTGGATTTGTTTCATAATTGATGAATTTGACAACATTAGCACTGTTATTTTCCAGTTTATTACTGTGAAGCTACATTGAAACAAGCACTTAATCAATAAATGCAATACTAATGATTACATTTAGGGTCATTGACCCAAAGTATTACACAATGAAGCGTGCTTGATTTGTCAAATCATGTGTGTTGTTGTGGAGAATTGTGTTGGTACTTCACTAAGTCATCAGATGCACCATTTTTACTTGAAGGAGGAACGTGAGCCATATCTAGACAGCGGGAGATCACTGAGACACAGGTCTCTTTTCATACCAGACAGGAAGAAACCACTTAGAATCCACCTGAACCAACCCTAGCAACCGCATAGAGTCACACTGTCATGGTGGCGACTTATGAAAAGTCAAGCACCACTCATATGATTTCAGAAAATGTAAAAAATCATGTGGTGTTTCTTCCTTTAAAGTGTTATTTTTATTGCATATTGATCCAGAGAGGAAAGAAACAAAGCAAAGGTGGATGTGAGCCCATACTGCTCCAGCCAAAATACTTTCTTGACCGCAACGCATAATAAATCTCTCTCTTGCTCTACAGCAGCCAAGCCAAAAGCTTGTCAAAGTATAGCTAGATATAATTGCTTTCAGACCAGAGATGGAAATATGTTTTGTGTTTAACTATAATCAGAATGAAGACTGATTGACACAAAGCTGAATATCACACAGACTACGTTCACACTGCGAGCCTTAGTGCTCAATTTCGATTTTGCTTTTTTTTTTTTGTATAGCTGTTCACATTGTTGTTTGAAATGTGGCCAATATCAGATTTCCTGTGTGAACAGATCATGGTTCTGAACTGACCCGCAAAACAACATTACGAACAGGGTTGCCAGGTTTTGCCAGGGGGGTGTGGGGGTCAATATCGCATTTGTGGGGTCGCTTTAACCCACGGAGTTGAAAAACAACCTGCGTCAACAATGAAAAAGTAGCCCAATTCCGCGGGGAAACTGTGGACTTGGCAACACTTGCGCAGCGCGCTGACATGCGGAAGTAAACACAGAGAACATAAAGTAAGCGATTATGTGTTTATTATTTATAGTGTGATCTTGTTCTATTTTCTTTTTGACAGAGCAAAATGGAATTTTGTGTCTGAAAGTTACTCAGTAACTTGTTTATTGTACATTTGTGATCGTGCAGATATTCGGAAAAACAGGACTCTTGTTTGTGTGATAGGCTAAGTCCATCAAAGGCATATGTTATAAAATCAGAAACTCATTAAATGACAATTTTTTATTTTTAAAATCATTTTGAAGACATTTCTACCCCACTGTGTGATGGCAGTAAGACGGGAGAGAGCGCTCAAAACTCGTCAGATCGCATAATTTAGTGGAACATTAATATAATATAGAATCATCCTCTGTAAAGAATTTAGGCGTGAACATATGATAATATATCTTTCTAAATGTGCACTCTTTTGGGCTAAAGGCTTAATTGAGCTGTTTAAAGTAGCAATGTGATCAAATTAATCGGCGCAGACACTATTCAATACGTGTGTCCTAATTCTATGTGAAATAATCATAAATACCAGTTTATGTTGTTTGATTATGGCCTCAAAGGTCGCAGTTGGAAGCTGTTAGCCCCGGCTGGCCTGTTTAGCCCTTGCATGTGCAGTGGAAATGCGGCTAATAATTTCTGACTGGCATAACTGAACAAATCAAACAAACGTAAACGGGTAAAAAGCGGGGCCCATGGGCTGCAGCCCAGTCAAGCCCAAAGTTTATCATCGAAACATGTGCATTATCATTTTCAATCATCTACACATATCAAACCTTTAAAGAACATATTAATTATATTATAGTAAATATTATATACATTTATATTCATGTTAATCATATATACAGGCTAAATATTAATATATAGTATTAATATACGTCTACTATAATGATATACTGTATTATATCATAGTCTACATATTTATATTTATTATTATTCATTTATATTACTTAATAATCAATTACACTATATCTATCTATTTATCTATCTCTCTATCTATCTCCCTATATGTGTGCATGTAATTTTTATATACTGCATGCTGCTGTATAGTATATAGTAATATGTATTAAGTATACTAATAATTCTATTTTATATATGCACAGATTTGAATGCAATGCAAGTTGCTTTGGATAATAGCATCAAATGCACAAATATAATTAGTGTATGTGGTAACAACACAGAATGCATCAAGTCATCTAGACATTATAGATGAATTTAACCAAACAACAGCAGTCCTGGATTCACAATCGCATATAATACACATGCATTGTGGCATTGAATGACACACAAAAAAATTCCCACAAGATATGATGTCATATGTTATTTTCATGTTATTTTCATAATGGAAAAGAGCTGGCATCATTATAGTATAATGACCATCTGATGTCCTGCACCAAAGTTTTTGTTCCTTCCTGCTTGTGCAATAACAGCTCATTCAGCTCCGGGTCAACATATAATGTGCAATATATCAGCCATTTCCCACATCTATTAAACAACACCTACTAAGCTAAATGTTAGGCTTTGTGTGCTGCTAACAGATACTATGTCACTGCACTTTTTTTTAGCATTTTTCAACATGTTTCATAGAGGTCAATCAAAGTCAGACAAGCATATTGGCTTTGAATCTATGTAGTTGCTCGATTCAATACAGCCTAATATCTGTTCATTGTTCAAAATGCTCTGATCAAATACTTTTTTGAGGTGTATAAATCATGTATGTTCATTTGCTTTCTGAGGATGATCAACACCAGCTGTCAATAATAAAGGTCTTAATAAGTCCAGCCATGTTAGTGTGCAGTTCAGTGTTCAGCGTTTCACCAAACTTGACAACATTATGGCATTTTCCCAGAGAAAGCCCATCAGTTTCATTGATTAATGCCTTGTGTTTGCAGGATGGAGGCATCTTGTCTGGAGCTGGCGCTGGAAGGGGAGAGACTGTGTAAAGCGGGAGATTTTAAAGGTGGTACAGCCTTCTTTGAAGCTGCTGTTCAGGTGGGAACAGAAGATCTCAAGACCCTCAGTGCCATTTACAGCCAGCTGGGTAACGCTTACTTCTACCTGAAGGAGTATGGCAAAGCCCTGGAGTACCATCGGCACGACCTCACGCTCGCCCGGTGAGAACACTGACTCTGATGGCCATTTATAGCCACTTTGAACAGTGAAATTACATTTGAGCTCAGTTTCATGCAAGTTTGTGTCCAACGAAAATAAACGGAGCTGCATTGTAATTCAGGACAATCGGGGACCGGATCGGGGAGGGGAAAGCCAGTGGGAATCTGGGGAACACTCTGAAGGTTTTGGGCCGCTATGATGAAGCAGTTGTGTGCTGTCAGAGACACCTGGACATTTCTCAAGAACAAGGAGACAAGGTGAGAAAACCACCGTCAGGAATTCTTTAGATCTGACTAGACCGAGAAAGTGATTTGCAGTTTTGTGAGCAATATTCATTAGACGTACAGTGTACAGATGTGGCCACTCAAGGTCAATATCACCTTTATTAGGGTTATTGTTTTGTTTGAGCGACTCGCTGAATGGAGACTGAATGTGTTACTGGAGCACACATTGATGGATTTGATATCTAACAACAAACCACAAATATGATTTGCAGTTGTATTCTCAGGGAATGCTTGAGCTGATAAAATTACCTTCAATGCAATGTAGGCCGCTTTGGACAAAAGCGTCTGGAAAATGCAAAATGTAAACATAAACCTTGGAATCTGGGATTGCCTTGACCATGAATAATACACGTTATGCAACGTATCTTAGTTTGGAGCAACTATTGTGAAACCTACCTGTTAGTGAGTACTTATGACTTATGATGATATATATATGCAAAAAAATTATGATGTATTGTAGTTTAAATTTATTTTAAATGCAACTAGCTGAACTTTAGAGTATTTAAAACCCGCTTAATTAGGACTTAAGTACATCTTTATACGTACAACATAATTATTCTATTGTATAGTGTACAACATATAGTGTACTGCTGAATGTACTGACAAACATTTATGGTAAAATATACTTTAATGTCATTCTATTGAAGCTTGTATGTCATGTATTAAATGCATTTGTAATTACATATTTGTAATGAAGTTTCAATTTAGTACATTTAAAATATATATTAACTTTAAATGCAATACGCAATAACACACTACAGTTAAAATTATAATCAAGTACTTTACATGTGCTTTAGTATGTTAGTCAACACATATTTTAATGTACTAAAGTTGGTAGACTAAAATTAATGTATTTTAAATGCACTAAATAAGTGTACTTATTTAAAGCACGACAAAAGATTATTAAAACATAATGATTTAAAATGTACATTAAAGTAAAACTTAATTTGACAATTATTACAGTGCACTTTTTAATAGTGTACTTAAAGGTGTTAAGAAACAGTGATGAGAGTGTCTCTAAGTGCACTTAAGTGGCTTTTAATTTAATTAACATTATAATATTTGAAAGTATAGTTTTTAAGATTTTGTGTACACTACAAGTGCACATTCAGTACAATTATGCACACAACGTTATAATGCAGCGTTTGCAAGCCATTGCACCTCTTTAATGTGACGTATCTCATAATGTTGATTATAAAGTGCTGTCTAGGCAGGTGGCACACTTGATTTCAGAGCAGAGCCAGTGTGATGTTTCTCAAAGGTTTCTGTACTGTTGAGACTGTTGAAATAAAAAATACATGCAATTGTAAACCAGCTATAAGCAGTGAACAAACGGCTGCTGTGTGCAGGTCGGCGAGGCCAGGGCTCTGTATAACATGGGGAACGTGTTTCATGCCAAAGGAAAGCAGCAGCTGTGGGGCATCTCACAGGATCCCGGAGAGCTTCCTCCTGACGTCAGAGACACGCTGCAGCGAGCCACGGCTTTCTATGAGTGAGTCCATCACACACACACACACACACACACACACACACAGACTGAAGCATCTGAGCATCATTAGGCAGAACCCACCGAGACCTGTTTGCCCGACTGCAGCGCGGCTCATTATTAACAGCGACACTTAGCAGATCCAGAAGGTTAAACGGCACATAAATGAGATGTCGAGAGACCAGAGGTGTCAGACGGAGGACAAACGGCCTTAAACAGTCATTAGTAGCTCCCTCTGTGTGTCCGTTTACTAGGAAAACATGGAGAACAAGGACATCTGCTCTTCCAAAATCAAAAACGGCTCACAAATATTTAAGATTTATGTATTTCAATTGCATATCAAATTTGGATTACAGTTTTAACACGGACTGAGAAACTTAATGTGATGCATGCCTGTCAGTCATTTCTGCACTCAAAAACAAAACAAAACATAGTTTATTATTAACTATTTGCATGTATTTGATTTTATTCACATAATCAATTTTTCAAAATGCATTTATTCAAATGGCTTAGAATCAGAACACATTCAGTTTATTAATAGAATTACAGAAATCAGACCTATTTCATTTATGTATGACTGAGAAATATGCATCACATTAGGTTTATTAGTTGATATTAAAACTATAATCCAGATGGGTGGAAATATGATATGCAAATATTTTATATTTTACATGCATTATCACAAATCCTAAATTTAGGCCTTACTTTAATGTAATTTCTATTGAAACTTCATACTGTATATTTAAGTAATGTCATGTATTTAAATAGATTTGTAATTACACATATGTATTGGAGTTGCAATTTAGTAGACTTAAAGTACAGTATATTAACTTTAAATGTAACATCAAATAACACACTACAGTTACAATTATAATCAAGTACTTTACATGTGCTTTAGTATGCTAGTCAACACATCAAAATAAGAGTACAAAAAAAGATTATCAAAACATAATGATTTAAAATGTACTTTAAAATACAACTTTTGTTTTGACATTGCACTTCATAAACGTGTTAAAAAGGAGTTATGAAAGTGTCTTGAGTGGCCTTTTATTATTATTATTATTACAGTTTTTAAAAATATAAGATTTGAAGCACTACAAGTGCACATTCTGTACAATTAAAAGCACACTTGTTTTTCACAATGTTGGAATGGTAAACATGAATGTGTTTTTAACTTGAATAAAGTGAATTGCAGATGAGTGTTTGTCTGTTTCAGGATGAACCTCTCTCTGGTAAAGGAGCTGGGAGACCGAGCAGCGCAGGGAAGAGCCTTCGGTAACCTCGGGAACACTCATTACCTGCTGGGTAATTTCGTTGAGGCCATCAAGTTCCACAGAGAGGTACGAGCCAAGCAACACTGACTAATTTACTTACCTAACTGTGCGCACTCACATGTTCTCTGCTGCGGTTGAGAGAGCAGCTCAGGCTAGCAGGGATCTGTTTTTCAGAGTAACACACAGTCCCTTCTTGTTTTTCCAGCGTCTCTCCATTGCAAAGGAATTTGGCGACAAGGCCGCCGAGCGCAGAGCGTACAGTAACCTAGGCAATGCTCTCATTTTCCTTGGCCAGTTCAATGCAGCCACAGAGTATTACAGGTAACCATGACTACACAGCAGCATCTAGAGGATGAGTCACGTGTGACCAGCCTTTTTATTAAAGAAAAGGAAGCGATATGCAATAAACAGGAGAACATTAAAGAGCATTGGCAGAAAATTTAACTTGTGACAAACAAGACGAAACACTCACACAAAAGAAAGATAAGCAAAATAAATGAATGAATAAAATAATGTAAATAAAAAAGTGAATAGCTGCATCACAGTTGTAGTTTACACACTATGGATTATTTACCCTGAAAGTATCTGTGCTTCTGATTGCATGGTAAAACTCACAAATACGTGAGAGACATATGATCAGTTACACCTTGATACAGAACATGTTTTGAAACGTATTTATTGGTGCACTCTGTTGTTGTTTTTTTCCTCATTGAAAACATTTTATACTTAATTGAAAAGTAATTTTGGAAAAACATGAGGCTTATTGAGGAGAGGTGAGATGTTACTTATCTAGACAATATAATACACACACTTTAGTTCAACTTTTTTAACTCATAAAAACTAGATTTGTTGGTATAAATTAATGTGTTTAGATTGGTACAGCCATATTTAATATATTTTTTTTATTTTTAGATGTTACCATTTTAGGCAACTATTTTTTTCTACTTTTACTATTTTTTAGGTTACTGGTTAAAGGGATCATATGATGCGATTTCAATTTTTCCTTCCTCTTTGGAGTGTTACAAGCTCTTGGTTGCATAAAGAAGATCTGTAAAGTTGCAAAGACTAAAGTCTCAAATCCAAAGAGATATTCTTTATAAAAGTTAAGAGTCAACCGCGCCTACCTAAAACGGCTCGTTCCAACACGCCCCCACATGTCTACGTCACTATGTGGGAAGATTTGCATAACGCCACCCAAATGTTCACGCAAAGAAAGAAGGCGTAACTTTTATTCTCGCTGTAGTATTGTTGCTGCCGCCA